TGGACGTACGATCTTCATGAAACTTTCAGATTATGATTATAACATGGATATGCATGTAATTGCCAAAGCACAAGTCTCTAGTATTTGAAATACGCTTTTTACAAAAGTGAGGGTGAGGGGGTGAATTTAAGGGTGGGGGGTAAATTTTAACAAAAACCGAAATTGTATAAATTGCATATAAGCATACATTAAAAATTTGGAGACTCTAGCAATAAAGGTGTAGAAGATATAATTTTATAACTGGTTTTCGATAAGGTTTTTTATCGATAAAAAAAGATCGGGATGAGTTATCGATTTTTAATGATAAACTCGATATCCGCGCTGTAAATACGGACATTAAAAAAAAAATTGAAGCCTCTAGCTCTTATATCTTTTGAAATCGACGCGTTCATACATACGGACAGACGGACAGGGCCAAATCGACTCAGCTCGTCACCCTGATCAAGAATATATACACATTGTGGGGTCTGCCACGCCTCCTTTTGCCTGTTACATACATTTCAACAAAACCATTATACCCTGATTTCCCATTGAAAATGGGTTCAGGGTATAAAAATCACACATTGTCAATTCTGATTAAACTACTAAAGTTGCGACTTTTCAATTAAATATATAGAATTACTATAAATATTCCGTTTGCTTACTGGCACTGATAAATACATATATGTACAGTTATTATAATATTAGGTCTATTGTGTGGCAATACAATAATAATTATGTTTATCTTATTGTTTATTTTCTAGGCTCCTTGGTCGAGATTTCCAACAAAAACTAATTAAGGACTATTAAGAGGTAAGTGGCAGCTAAAGTTAGCATATCGATAACAAGTTGAGATAACAAAATGATCGAGTCATGGTCAAGTACACACACAAACATAAATTAACTCATAAATACATATGAGCAGATGTATATATGTATGTACATATGTATGTTTGTATATTTGGTGGATGTCGTGTGTGTCTCTCCGATTGCGAACAGTGAGTAATAGTAGCTGCCGATGACGCATTTAGACGATAGTTAAATCCGAATAGCCGGCATCAAGATGCCGGTCTCACTCTCTCAGAGACTCTTCCCCATATCTATGCAGCGTATGCATGCACGTACGTACATCCATGTATGTGTGTGCACAGATATGTGTGGGTGTATACATATACACGTTGCACACATGTATGTATATACATTGCATATGTTAAACCGGTTGGCGATTCGGCTGCTAACATTTTTGCTCTCTCTCTCTTTCTCTCTCTTTCCCAAGTGCAGTTAGTGGCGTGCTGCAAATGCAGATGCTGTCATCTTGTTTGTTTGAGAAAAATAAATTTTGAGCTATCGCAACAGACAAAATCAGCTGTTGGTTGAAGAGCTGTCGGTCGGTCTTGATTTAAAGTAAATATAAATCGTTATTTACATATATAAGCTATAAACTGTAGTATTAAAGAAAGATTTTACAAAGCTTCCAACTTCCACATACATATTTATGTATGTACATACATGCTTTTATACAAGTATATGAATACACACTCATATCTACACTTCTGCACAGATTTGTATGCATGTGTGCCAATTTGCATCAACGTTTGGCAACTGTCAGCTGACATAATTATACCCTGAACCCATTGAAAATGGGAAATCAGGGTATAATGGTTTTGTGAAAAAGTATGTAACGGGCAGAAGGAGGCGTGGCAGACCCCACAAAGTATATATATTCTTGATCAGCGCGAC